CCGGTCTCTTGCTCAGATATGTGGGGAAGGTTGCGCCAGGAAGGGCATCAGGCATAAAATCGTTGTCAAACTATATAAACATATAGATTGTATTTCCATACCGGATCGGTCGAGACTCGACTTATCAATAGCCGCCGCTGGTACTTTTAGCCGGAAGAATATTTAAAAAAAATATAATATTATTGTGTGGAAGAAACTATAGTATTGCTGTGTAGAGTGAGGAAAAAAAGTTGAGTGCAAAATTGTGGAGAAAGGATACCTGGAGTGAACACTAAGAGAAGAGAGCGTAGGGATTAACTGTTTTGGTGGACTGTCCTATGCAGATGTACCCTATGGGAGATCGGTGACTTTAAGGTGATGGAGCCACAGAGATGGTGGTCTGTAGGAGACTTTTTAGGTGAAGTGAGTAAGGACTGATGGCGAATGTTGCAAGAGGAAGACTGCTGTGTAAAGTCAAGGAGGAGGTGAGGCAGGTGCTGGGTAGCGTTGGAAGGGAGCTGTACAAATAGGCACCTACTGCAGGAATGGGGAGGGAGAAAATCTGGCGTGTAGTTTGACAGAGGGAAGAAAACAAGACATGGGGTGGAATGGAGAAAGCACAAGAAGAGGCTAGTGGGAAAAAGTTGAGGTGATTACAGGGACGAAGAAAATAGAACCAAAAGCAGATGTATCGATAGGGGAAGAGAGATATGACAATAGTCAATGTATATGAAAAGCTGAACACTATTGAAAGAGGGAAGGACCTATACCGATTGGCCAGTGCGAGGGTCCGAATTGGAAAAGGCATACAGCTGGATGAACTTGCATTGGTAAAGGTGGGGAGTCTATTAAAAAGGTGGACGGAGTACTTTGAAGAGCTGACGGCTAATCAAAATGAGATTGATAAAAGGTTGGATGATGTGCAGGTAACGGATCAGGAACGCTGGCGGATTAAGAAGTGAGAGAAGTTACGAAGAGAATGGAGAGTGATTGGTCTGACGGGCACGCCAGCGGAGATATTCAGATACTTTTGGGAGATGACTGCAGAGTTTCTATCAGATTATTTAACAAATGGTCTGGCCTCCTCCCTCCCTCCCTCCCTCCCTCCCTCCCTCCCTCCCTCCCTCCCTCCCTCCCTCCCTCCCTCCCTCCCTCCCTCCCTCCCTCCCTCCCTCCCTCCCTCCCTCCCTCCCTCCCTCCCTCCCTCCCTCCCTCCCTCCCTCCCTCCCTCCCTCCCTCCCTCCCTCCCTCCCTCCCTCCCTCCCTCCCTCCCTCCCTCCCTCCCTCCCTCCCTCCCTCCCTCCCTCCCTCCCTCCCTCCCTCCCTCCCTCCCTCCCTCCCTCCCTCCCTCCCTCCCTCCCTCCCTCCCTCCCTCCCTCCCTCCCTCCCTCCCTCCCTCCCTCCCTCCCTCCCTCCCTCCCTCCCTCCCTCCCTCCCTCCCTCCCTCCCTCCCTCCCTCCCTCCCTCCCTCCCTCCCTCCCTCCCTCCCTCCCTCCCTCCCTCCCTCCCTCCCTCCCTCCCTCCCTCCCTCCCTCCCTCCCTCCCTCCCTCCCTCCCTCCCTCCCTCCCTCCCTCCCTCCCTCCCTCCCTCCCTCCCTCCCTCCCTCCCTCCCTCCCTCCCTCCCTCCCTCCCTCCCTCCCTCCCTCCCTCCCTCCCTCCCTCCCTCCCTCCCTCCCTCCCTCCCTCCCTCCCTCCCTCCCTCCCTCCCTCCCTCCCTCCCTCCCTCCCTCCCTCCCTCCCTCCCTCCCTCCCTCCCTCCCTCCCTCCCTCCCTCCCTCCCTCCCTCCCTCCCTCCCTCCCTCCCTCCCTCCCTCCCTCCCTCCCTCCCTCCCTCCCTCCCTCCCTCCCTCCCTCCCTCCCTCCCTCCCTCCCTCCCTCCCTCCCTCCCTCCCTCCCTCCCTCCCTCCCTCCCTCCCTCCCTCCCTCCCTCCCTCCCTCCCTCCCTCCCTCCCTCCCTCCCTCCCTCCCTCCCTCCCTCCCTCCCTCCCTCCCTCCCTCCCTCCCTCCCTCCCTCCCTCCCTCCCTCCCTCCCTCCCTCCCTCCCTCCCTCCCTCCCTCCCTCCCTCCCTCCCTCCCTCCCTCCCTCCCTCCCTCCCTCCCTCCCTCCCTCCCTCCCTCCCTCCCTCCCTCCCTCCCTCCCTCCCTCCCTCCCTCCCTCCCTCCCTCCCTCCCTCCCTCCCTCCCTCCCTCCCTCCCTCCCTCCCTCCCTCCCTCCCTCCCTCCCTCCCTCCCTCCCTCCCTCCCTCCCTCCCTCCCTCCCTCCCTCCCTCCCTCCCTCCCTCCCTCCCTCCCTCCCTCCCTCCCTCCCTCCCTCCCTCCCTCCCTCCCTCCCTCCCTCCCTCCCTCCCTCCCTCCCTCCCTCCCTCCCTCCCTCCCTCCCTCCCTCCCTCCCTCCCTCCCTCCCTCCCTCCCTCCCTCCCTCCCTCCCTCCCTCCCTCCCTCCCTCCCTCCCTCCCTCCCTCCCTCCCTCCCTCCCTCCCTCCCTCCCTCCCTCCCTCCCTCCCTCCCTCCCTCCCTCCCTCCCTCCCTCCCTCCCTCCCTCCCTCCCTCCCTCCCTCCCTCCCTCCCTCCCTCCCTCCCTCCCTCCCTCCCTCCCTCAAAGGCAACAATTTTTAATGTTTTATATTATAGTACACATATAGATCCGGTTATTTTTTTAAATGCATCAAGAATAACTATTTTTTACAGTTTTTTGTAGGAGGGCAGTGTGACAAGGATGGGTTGTGCAGTGATAACGACTAATAAGTACAAGCATTGAAGTGGAAGTAGGAATGCCGAAGCTTTTTTTTTTTTTGACTGTGGATAACATTATGATCTGTAGTGAGAGTATGGGGCAGGCTTAGATGGAAAGGTGAAGTTGGGTGTAAGTAGATGCGGTGCCGAGATACTTGAGGTCCGCGTTTCAAAGTAACACAGTGGAAAAGAGATTATGAGAGTGCAGACTGGGTGGAAGTTGGTGAGGAAGAGTGACAGGATAATCTGAGATTGAAGGGTGCTTGCAAGGGTGACAAGAAAAGTTTGCAAGATAGCGTCTAACCTACCCTTGCAGCCCGCCATCAGTACGAAAATGTCAGAGAGATCCTTGATTAATATCGTTGGTATTACAAAAGCTTTTGCCTCTGGACCTCCTTTGATCACTTCCTCGTCTGCCACCGTTTCCTCAGTGAAGCGCTCCCTAGTCTGACTAGTTAGTGCAGACATATCTACAAATGGTTGACAAAGTTCATATCTGTTTCTTTGAAGGTTCAAACACTGGTTAATAATAAACTAAGTCGCTCAGGGGTGAAGGAAAACAATGGAAAATAATACAATCAAAGCTAGTTGTATGCGAATACAATTTTATACAATAGAATGATGGATGAATGGCACTGAAATTCAGATGGTTAATGGATAGAAGACATAAATGTGTCAGACATCAAAGGTCATATAGCACCATGGGAAAGTATTGTGGCGAAAAGGGTGGAAACGAGTTAACGATTAGGATAAGATGTGTAATATGTCAAAGGTTGTAGAACGCTGTAGGATAGAATGGCAGTGAAAAAGGTATAGAGAGGGAGCAAATGGAATACAGTGTGGATTTGTAAAAGGGGATGGGGTGAAAGGTATAGAGCGATCAGATCAAATGGAGAGTGTCTGAGGAAGGGAGAGAAACACTGTATGAGGAAACCTGCAAAAGAGCTATTATGAGACAATCAAGGGTAATACGGTAAGAAATGATAGTTGTAGACGTAGGAGAAAGGTCCAGAGGATGAGATAAGGAAACAAGGGAAAGGGGTGAAGTATCGGGAGGAATGCCAGGAGGGAAGGAATCCGGAGGACATTGTTGTGACATAAAGGAGTCACGTGAGCATCTAAAGGTGATAGGGATAATGGAATGGAAGATGGAATGGAGATGCACATGAACGAGGAGAGAATGGGTGTGTTTTTTTGGTGAGAGGGAGGAAGAGGGGTAGGGGGAACTTGAGGAGGAGGAGGATGGATATCGGCAAAATACTTTGAATGTAGAGCGCATAGGAATGGAGGGATTAGAGGGTGGATGAGGAAGTGGAGAATTCTCTTGGGTCTTGATTAGGAATTTTTGGATATCTTCAAAGTGTTTTGAGTTTCTGGAGGGCAGCTAAGTGAGGAGGTCTGAGAAACAAAGGTTTTCTTTTGTGGAGGAGAAGGGGGAAGAAATATCCGAAGAGCATGGGGGTAGAGGTGGGTGTAGGAGAGGATGTGAGGAAGATGGAGTGGAACGTTTAGATTGTCTGGTGCCTCAGGTAGAGTGAGGAGGAGGGTTAGGCATCGGGGAAGCGGTAGAGATCGGAGTATCTGGATTTAGACTGCAAAAGGAATTTGACCGGGAGAAAGAGAGAGTAGAGATAGGTTGGTTCAGGGTAGATGGAAGAGATACAGGGGGAAATGCCGAGAACTTCTTGAGGTGGAAGGGAAGCGAAGTGAAGTATAGTTTTGAAATAGTTAGAAAGAGAAAAATCTCGTCGGCATGCTTCTTGTCTGGCTTCACGTAGAGTGTGGACTAGTTTGAATCTGAGAACTGCTACCTCAGATTCTAACTTTTATGGGAGCCACCACAGTTGGCACACATGCGTGACTGAGCAGAGCAATTTGAACGGCCATGATCAGGTTGGACACTGTGGATTTACATTGTTTGGCTAGCTGGCCAAAACGCCAACTTTTCTGACATTGACGGGGACGAGGTCGATATGGTCGGACAAGGCAATGCACCACCAACATGAACTTTATGGGGGAGGTCATGTCTACGGAATCTAATCTTGGCAATATTGGTGTAGGACTTACGTTGGCCTCTGGGAGGAATAGTGCCACTGCACCATAGTCGACGAGGCATGCGAGCTAGTCGTTTTCACAGTCTGACCGACATCAGTCGGAATAACGGAAACAGTTCCGGTACAAGTATTATGGGAGGAATGAGGTTGGTCAGGAACAGGTTTGCCATAGTGTCAAGTCAGTCAAGGAAGACAGTGCACGAGCTTGGGACTCAGATGTAACTGTGACAAGGCGATTGCAAAAGGAAACTTTGCCTACTTGTTTTCAGAGATATTGTTGGAAGTGAAGGGTATTGTCAGAACACGGGACTGTAGGGGGAATAAAAATAATTTATCCCATTTGGCCGGGCCAAATAGGGCAATCAAAATGTTTACAGAGGTGGAAGTAATAGAAGATGGGTAGTACTGCTGGGAGGAGGAAAATAAGGATGAAGAGTAGTAATACGGGTGGTGGGGAGTAGGCAATGAAGAAGACTGTGGAGTAAAAGATGGAGTGGAGGATGTTGGGAGAGAGGAAGGGTTGTATTCTGGAGGTTGAGTAATGACCTGGGTGGATGATTCGGAATGGATTGAGTTGACAGCACATCAAAGAGGGGGTACTAATATCAGTGGTCGGAGCCGTGGTCAAAGGAGAGGCAGGGGTCGGGAAACCATTGAAATCAAATTTAGATTGGCTAGTTGATGAAGGGGCAAGCCTTAATATCCCTAATAAGGGTAAAAAATCTTCATTATTGGCCATGGTGAGTCTGTCATAAATGGGGAGAGGAAACGGTCTATCCCTCAGGGTCCCCATAAGGGTTTAAGGCTAGACCATTAACTAAGGGAATACCGTGCCCATGGCTCCCAGAGGCCATTCAGGACTGACACAAAGCCAGCTTTTTGTCCTTTCTGCATGGCTCTCACACCTTAGAAAGTCGACAGAATGGGATGAAAAAGAAAAGGAAAAAAAAAGGAAAAGAGAAGAAAAGACTATGCAAAATTAGTTGAGGCGAGGGCTGAGGCAAGGTCCAAGGTAGGGGTGATCCCCAACACTGAGCCCTAGTCCTCGTCTCCAAAGCCCCCCCCCCCCCACACACTCAAAACAACGATGGATTAAGGGAGTCAGAAATTCAAGGAATTGGAATATGTTCCAATCTCTTTAATTTCAGGGTGAATAATGGATGATATTAATCTGGGGTGAAGGAAAAATAACAAAAATAACATGAGCAAAGCTTGTTATACATGATGGGTGAATGGCATTGAAATTCAAAGCTTTGACACTTGATTAAAACTGTTGTATGGTCGATACAAAAATAAAAAAAACATAAAGACTCACACAAGGTCAGTATTTTAACTTGTTAACAAAATACATAATTTAATAACTGACACAACTAAGACATCTCAACTTACTGGTATAGGATATTCATGATAAATTGCTGATAACTTTTAATTACTTGTAAAGAATATAGGGTAAATAAAAGAACTTTTTCCTATAAAAGTATTTTTTTCAAAATCCATACAAATTTTTTACATTCTCACTAATACCTAAAACCTAAAATGTACAAAGTGTAGATATCTGTCGGTGATATGCATTACATAGTGAAATCCATCATGAGAAACAGATGACGCATTTATTCCTTTAAGGTCACAAAAGGTACCTAAAACAGCCTCTTTGTCAAGGAAGACATCAACAAAATATTATCACATACTCTATTCTATAATGGCACCTAGTATCTGTATCACAATTATACATATAAATATACAGGAACATCTGTTTATAATACAACTATTAAAGTACCATCAAAACAGATAAAATCAATGTATCGTAGATAAAAAAAGCCATTGGAAATTGTTGCTAATTTTCATAATTAGTTATGGAAATTATGCAGGATAGTAACATATAGCACAAAAATATACTCTTGACTGTTATGCATGTAGTCCTTCGCACTGTCCTATAATATAAATATATAAACTATTAATATCAACATATTATGCTAGTGTGTGTATGTATGACTTGTACATATGTGGATGTAGATATTCATTTGTAAACAGGTAACCCACTTCATGTTTCATGTATTTCTGAAAGCAAAAAATACTGTTCCCTATGCATCTAAATCAAGAGGATGACCCCCTCCTCCTAAAAAAATCAAGTATACAGATATTCTGTATACTGAACTTCACTAAAATTATTCACTTATAACTGATTATTAAAAAACAGTAAGAATTTGAACACTTAACAATGATATTTCTTTTATTACTGATACTGTATACAATTTCTTAAATACAAAAATTATACATTCCAGATGTTTTCATCCTAATAACAAAATAATCATAAAAAGCTGCCAAGTCTTACTTGCAGATTAGAAAAAAGATATAGCTGTTGAAATTCAGAACCAAAAACATATTTTAGTTTCCAACAATCACTGCCCTGACTTTGCACTAATGATGGTCAGTACCTGTTAAAGTTTAATTATGAACATTCCTATAGCTGACTGACAAAGTAACTGACCAGAGAGCAGCATAGATGGTTAAGGCTAACATATGGTATAGAAGATATGCAGCAGAAATCTGCTGCAATGAAAAGAAGGCCAAAACTTGTTGCATTGTGCTTTATGAAAGAGGCACCTAGTTGTACTTAATATCTAGTACTATATTTGACATTATATAAGATGCACTTAAAAGAGGGGATCAAAAACTCACCCACATCTTATATGCAAACATTGGGCCAACTTTTTTATGATAAATCATGAGAGCCCTAGACATAGTCATCTATAAATAACAACCCTCGCTGACTGGGATTCGAACCCTTGCCACTCCAGGCTTGAGTCCTAGTCAGTGAGGGTTGTCCTTCATCCATATCAATGTGGCACTGGATTATTGCATCTTTATTTATCTATCAAGAATCTTACCCTTTTCTACCAAAGTTAGTCACAGTGTTTCTCACACCTATGTACATCATCGCGTGATTTATGGGATGCATCGCAATCTGTGCAAAGTTGATGAGGGTGACAATGCAAATGAAGTCATTAACCTGAAACATATTATGAAATACAAACTTTATGTGACTATTTTGGTAACAAATGGGTTTTCAGAAGTACAATATAGAGATTCAAAGTACGGTGGGATACTCAAGACTGAGAATTTCTGGATACATACTGGGCATCTACCCCTTTTGATCACAGCAATTTGTCTACGATTTTGAAGTACTTATTCAATCTTTTGTGCTTTCTTCCTTCACTTTAAGTATTGGCTCACAATTTACACGGAATGAAATCAAACCCTTCAACTAAGTACTTAAAAAAATAATGATAAAACATAGATGAGTAAATAATAATGAGAAAAAAGTTGAGAATTTCATATTACAATTATGGCACCTTCTGGTATCTGCTGCTTGCACATATTCCTAGATATAAAGAGATAGAAAACTAATAAACTAAAACCTGGAAATAAATAAAAGTAGAAGGCAATAATTATTATATACATATATATGATATGTCAACAAGAATGTGTGTGTGCATGTGTGTGCTTGTGCCTGTGAGTGTATGTGTGTGAGTGAATGTATGTGTGTGACATGTGAGTATGTGTGTACGTGTTCTCTGTCTGTATCTGTGTGTCTTCTCCCTTCCGTGTGAGTATATGCATGAATACTGAAGAAGCAAGTAGGATACATTTCCAGCAATCTCCTCAGCCATTCACAACAGGTAAACTAACTTCCAGGGATATGTATTTCCTTCCTTTGTGATAAGGAATTTAAAGTCCCTACAATATGACTCGTCCATTACCATTATTGAGCACAAGACAAAATGACAAAATAAAAAGATAGAACGATGAACAGTAACAGTGAGGAACTGATTATAGCTGCAAAGAAAAAAATTAGAAAAGAAAGAAAAAAAGAAAGAAAGAAAAAGCCTATATTCATAAAAAAAAATCAGTAATTTCAATCATTTTGAACTAGCACAGGTAGTAAGTGATAATCTATATTATGCATGCTGCAATTTGGGCATTTCTGAATGAATAAACAATTATCATTATGATAATGATTGTGCATACATAACTGAATACTAAACAGTAGCAGTATTATCAGTAGTAGCAGTAACAGGTGTAACATTAATAGTAAAAGCAACAGTCATAGTAATAATATTTGTAGTAGTGATAGTGATGGTAACATAATAATAACAATAATAAAACCCTTAATCCTAATCATAATAACCATACCAATAATAATAATAATAATGAAAAAAAAAAAAAAAATAAAACAATAATAACTGTAATATTAAGAATAATACTGATACTAATGATAATAATAATAATGATAATAATAATAATAATAATAATAATAATAATGATAATAATAATAATGAAAGATAATGATGATAATGATAATCAAAATAAAGATGATGATAAATGATGATAATTGTTGCTGCTGATGTTGCTGTTGATATTGAAGTTGATAACGACTATGACAACAATAAAGGTGATGTTGATGTTGAAGATGACATTATAAAATTAAAATAATAATAATATAAGAATAATGACAAAAAAAAGATCAATCAATCAATAAATAAATAATAATAATAACAGAAAAAATAACAAGTGCAGAAAACTGGAAAAAGACCTAAAAAATATCAGAATCTACAAAATAAGGAAATGTGAATGGCTATCAATAAAATATCAGCTGCATCGCGCATTGTCATTCATCTCTGAGTTTGTTCTTAAATTAATTAAACCAAGGGTGGTAACATTCTTCCTTAAGTTCAGTGAACAGTACATAAAAAGAGGAGTTGTTTGGATTCGAAGAATAAAACCTAAAACCTAAAAGTCATGACAATTACTCTTGTCCGTGAGATAGGAATGTCTCCCTTTTCTCCACACAGCGAGAGATTTCACCATCCTTATTCACCTACATAAGCCTCGAGGGGCAATAAATTATAAAAAATAACGCTTGTTAAATTATTGGATATACAAAAATAGTGACTACGAGTTTCGTCTCTTGTACGCTAGGATTTCTGGATTGTCAATGATGGTTTTGGCGAGGGAATGTGTAGCACCATAGGTACTGTATCTCGTCCCTTGGCACATCTGGTATTGGTTCGTGACGAGGTTGTGATCACAGTCGACGTGGTGGAAAATATGGACTAGGCCAGGGTCAGCTGCTCGAAATACCTGGATTTTTTTCTTCAGCACCTGTAAGGGTGGGGAAGATAAAAAAATCATAATTTTCATAGAAATTAGGATAATCTATTAGGATAATCATCAAATACAACCTTGCAAATTATGTTTCCTTCAACAAAATTACACACTAGGTACTTTATTCAACTGATTTCTCTGCATGAGGAACCACTGTCCACAACTTGTCTACACTGTTTAATTCATCTTAAAGAACAAAGTCACAGCTGTACAAAAATTCAACAACATGTTAAATCAAGGGCTTAGGCCAAAACTTGACCATGAACTACAAATTGACACCTATCTGCAACAAGGTAATCACAACTGACAAGAAATCACATACTTGGGATAAATTATCTTTATTTGGATTTTGTTAATGTCACTTAATGAATTAATGAAACTACTCTTAGATCATACTACATCTGCACCATTCAAAAACATAGCAATTCACACTATGTCATTATAATAGTACTCACCTTCTCAAATAGGTCAACGTCTTCTTGACCCCATCCAAGAATGGAAGTATCTAGACCACCTGCCGTTAGCAATTCAGACTTGTACATCGATACAATTCCAAATCCAAATGCTCTCCAATATCCCACTTCTTCATCAATCTGCAGAAGAAATAGAACAATTATCAGGCAAAAAATAGTACCATCAGAGCTTCACTGCTGTTCAAGGAGTTATTTTCTCAGTAGTTGCAGCAATCACCTTTTCAGTATCTAATCTCATTAGTGAAGGTCAATTTTAGTCTTAAACTACTAGTTTTACTTTCTGACCCTAAAAGAGAGAGAGTGTAATTTGAAACTAATTTCTATACTGTAATAAGTAGGATCTTCTTTACATGTCTGATCATTTACAAGCTGCCCATTAAATAATATCCAAAAAAAAATGTAACTTACCAAATTGTGGTCATATGTTTCATCTTTGCTTCCCTTTCTTGTTACACTTGGATCAAACTCACTAAAAACTATAGGATAATATATCTGCAAAGACACATAAAAACCACATTAATTTCATTCACTGATTATATCATATGACAACAGAAACAATGAAACATCTGTATAACTGGAATAACAACAAGATTCAGAACTTGCTGAGACAAAATTATCCGAAAAAAAAAAGAAATAAGAGAAAAATATTTTCCCTGGAACATGATTAAACAATACAATACATCATCCCTTTATCACAAGAAAGACCAAAGTAGCTTCACACACAACTCAACAATTAAAATGACCAACACAACTAAAAGGTTTCAAGGATTTGAAAAAGATAACCACACATACCTGGATTCCCTGCACTGTATGTAATCGTATTCTATCAAGAGCACCGGGAGTGAAGGTCATGTCCACATCGATGAAGAACATCAGGTCATTTTCCTCACACTGGCCAGCACCCAACTCTAAGGCTAAAGCTCGAGCAAAACTTGTGTTTGCCTGTGGAAGAGGAGTCTATGGTATTTTATCTTATCTTTGAAAAATTATTACCCTAATAAAAGTATTGTTCATTAGAAGGATAAAACTAAAGAACTTACAGGTTTTAAGGAAACTCTGAAGAAAGAAAAAAATGGAAGTGTTAAAGTGAACAACAGAAATTTATAAAGGTCACCCCAAGACGAGAAAAGAAAGAATACCACATGTTACAAACGTTACACAAGATTCATGAAATAATTTCCACCTTCAACAAAAAGCATGCAAAAAACCAGCCTTGAAGTTATCTCCATGTTTTCCCAATCAAGCTACTAAAAGAAAGCCTCCAGATTCAAAACACACACACGTTGAAAACACTAAAAAGCTAAGAATAAAAAGGAGAATGAGTAAGAAGAATCACCCACCTGTAGCACACTCATAGATTAAAAAGGAGAATAAGTAAGAAGAATCACCCACCTGTAGCACACTCATAGGAACATCAGGATAGTCCAACTGAAGGCTGGAGATGAGAGCCTCAACATTCTCCGTCGTGTCCTCCTGGCCGGGGGGAGGACGGAAGGACACCACCACTAAACGCACATTTTCTTCTCCTTCTAGACATACCCGTTTGAAGTCATCTGCAAGTTATTCCACATACAGAAAGAATCCTGAAGATGGTTTTCCTTTATTTTACTTATCTTTGTGTGCTGAAAATTGGCTCTTACCCAACATATATAAAGATTTATTTTCATAATGATTTGTTATTCCTAACTTTTTACCGGAACCATCAGTACATACAGACTCCTCCGAAAAAATCTCTCACAGCCCTTTAAAACTACACTGTTGTGAGTTAAAAACTATTTGTGCTTTAACACAAGCCTATATGCATAATATAAGCATTAATGAAAGGAGCTAGTCTCTATGGTCTTATACCAGAGCTATCATTTCAACTTTTTCTAAACATTTCTGGACAAATCATCAAATGTTTTTTACTTAATAATCTTAAATAATATCCCCCTCTCACAGTCAAAATCTTCCTATCACTTTCAATACATAAGAAAAACTAGTATAAAAATAAAGTATGGATTATTGGCAAGAGGACATGAGCAGCGTTTTCCATTTAAGAGTTCTAACCTAATGAAAAATGCATCATGGATATGTACATACTGAATAGACATCTATAAAAGAATCAATGGCAGAGAAAGTATAATAGTGAAAGTAAGATTTAGTGGAGCAACATGTCTATGATATATTCGATGGAATGACTAGGGTGCCATCTGATATATCCGTAGAGTATCTCTTTGAAATCAATCACTCTTCCTCGTTCTTTGGAAACTCTATCGGGTGACGAAAATGGAAATATGATTAGTAATGGAATGAGGATACTTTCATAGGTTACAATTTGTCCAGATGTTTCAATAAGCAAATAATATTTTGAGGAGAAAACTAATGATACAAAAGACATATTTCATATACACTTCCTATATTCTGGCTATTTTCAAATGATGCCAAAAATATTTTTTTTGGTTATTTGAATGATTTCATATATGCAACTAACTAGATACCCATATCACAGTATCTTATTTTGATAGGTTTTCTCTATTTCTCACTTATGCTTTGCAAAGTCTGGCACACAGAAGCATAGTCATTAAAAAAAAACAAAAAACTTGACAAAGACACTATCCAGAAATTGCAAAGCCAATTCATTCTTACTTGTTTATGATCTCCATGACATCTCTTATGACATCCTCCAACCCCTCGTTCATGCCCGAGGTTGGCTTGTGGCGAGGGTTGGCGTCTCCCAAGCAAAAAGCTGCTCTGCTCACAAAGTCCCATGCATTGACTTCCTCCTCTAGATCTGGAGACCATTTCTGAAGGGTTGCATCTGTGCCTAAATGATGAAATGAATTGTATTAGTGTTTGGCGGTTACCTTACCTACTGAAGATTTTTTTCCCCCAGAAATTGATGCAAATGAATGTATCAAAATCCTATTTTGTTGTCAAGGATATGGATGTGTATAAAAGAAAATAATAAAATAAAAAGAAAAAATACATTCCAGTCACTTTACTATATGGTTATATTTAGTTTTATAAAAGCAAGAGGATATATGAAGATGACAATAATACTCATACTGTAGATGTTTCTTTTTCTTTCATTCTGTCTCATTCTGAGTACTGTTCTTCTGTGTGGTTACCTGCTGCAGAGTCATACTTAAGACAACTTGATCATTCTTCTAATTTCATTAAATTTCTCCTATCTGACTTGGATTTGGACACTGGGAATTTTGGAGACTCTTTCATATAAAAATAATAATAATCTAGTTTATTCCATCTGTCACAAAGGTTATTAGCATGGTATGACAGCTGCCTGTTTAGTTTGTTTCAAAATTATTTACGACTAACCAAATAATAAGAAAAAAAGAAAAATTCATTACTTTACTTTTTACTAATTTTTCACATCCAAGTCTCGGTACAACATAATCAGTAATTTCAGATGCAGCAATGGATGGGATCTCTCAATGATAAACCAAAGACTTCGCCAAAACCTTCCATCTCGAGTAATAAAACCAAGCTCGACAGAAGTCTTACTCAAGTGGTTGAGGAAAACGCCCTTAGCGGGTGAGTCAAGATTCGGCATCATGGTCCCCACCTCCTCGCTGGTCTTGTATAGTTCCCTTATCGTGCGCACCAATTCCGCTTCTTTGGACTTGATGTTTAGACTCTGAAATGTTAAAAAAAATGATACCTTCTGCTTTGGTCTATCATTAATGTTAACGTCACACTTAAAACTTTAGCAATAAGACTATAAGACTAAACTAACTATAGCTTGTGATATTTATAGCATATTTGTTTATGAGTGAAACTTTTTAAATAAGTTTGAAAAGTACCTTTTGTATAGTTACATGACAGATGAAGACAATGTATAATATTTCCCTTCTTCTTTCCTTCTAATTTCAAGAACATTCCAAAAAAAATATGCACAAAACTGATAGAAAATAATGAATTAAAAAAAAAAAACATCAACAGAAACAATAGTCTTCAATAACAATAACAGAGAAAACAGAGAATCATAAAAACAAAAAATGAATATAATTATAAACTGACCCCCCATCCTCTCCTGTAGTGTACAATTACAGGGATAAGATCCTACAGTACTATTAGCAAGCAAAATGAACGCCCTTCAATATATGTTATTTATGGAGAGATTTGGCATACCTCAAATCAAAAACTTTAAATCTACATTTTTTTATTATACTCAACCACCTAATTACAGAAAATACCGCCTTTAATACCAAAAAACAACATTTTTTCATTGACTAAGAGGCCCTCACACTCCAATATCATCCTCCTAATCCCAAAAAGCACAATCACTTCCCCTTTCAACCCCCACCGATCTTGGAGGCAGGACCCACCTGGATGTAATAATGGAGTCGATAGAGATACGTGTGATTCTTGATAGGGTGGAGGGTGATTGCGCGATGCACCTCTCGTTGCTTGAGGGGCCCCGTGAAAGCCTCGGTCCCGCTGCTGTTGTGGTACAGGATACTCTGCATCTGTTTGGACGGGATAAGAGGATAGATTTAGGTAAAAGTGACGGGTGATTCGACTTGTGAATTTAATTGTTAAGCAATAATTGAGAATGTCAAGATATCTTGATTCTGAAAATAGTGTCAGTGTG